CGGCCCATTTAGAGATTGTATACACCTGGGTATAACAATGCCTACTGTCGGAGAGCTCAAGCAGATTGAGAGAGAACGAGGTGTAGTGTACTCGACATACAACCCCTCCTACGGTGAAACAACTCAAACGCCAAGCCAGAGAGCTGGGGTTGATTGGTTATTCCCGTGTGAGGAAAGCCGGGCTAGTCGCACTGTTGCACGGCCACGTACAACCTCCCCACACTGTGAAACAACTCAAACGGGAAGCCCGAGAGCTGGGGTTAGTAGGTTATTCCTGTATGAGGAAGCCCGAGCTCGTCGAACTGTTGCATCAGCACAGAGTCGTTGATCTAGAGTTCGTGCGCACTGAACGCGCTGTAGGTAACTATCTGAGAGGCTGGCGCATGCATGTGGATAAGAACATAGACATCGGCGACGTCAAGCCGCTGATCGCTGACAAAGTTAATGAGGAACTGAACGATTTGGGAGGTCTAAAGTTTCAAATCACAGTGAAAATGTCACTCGATAAACAGCAGAATGGTGCCATTGAGTACGTTCAGCCTTACTTCTGGGGTAAACAAGAAGTCATGACTCATGCCGAGACTATAGACGAGTCCATCGATGTCAGTTTTCAGCATATACGAGAATACCTGGAACGCTACACGCACAGGGGGTCTGGGTGGGCCGTGGACAAAATCGATAAGGTCTATCTAGACATAGCTAACTACGTACCATTCGGGGGGGGATCGTACCTAGACTTACCCCCCTACTACAAGAAAAAACAGGCCATGGTCAACATCAAAAACAGAGGGGATGATGGCATGAGGTTAGCGTTCAGGTCAGCCTTGTTTCCAGCCAACGTTAATTCGAACAGGCCTTCTAGCTATCCCCAAGATGATGGGCTCAACTGGGCTGGTATAGACGAACCCACCCCCATATCCCAGGTCACCAAAATCGAGAAACAGAATGATATAGCTGTCATCGTCTTTGGGCACGAAGGCAACAAAACGATCGTGCACAGGATCAGCCCAATGGAGGGTCGCCACCTGATCAATATATTCATGATCCAGTGAGGTGATAAGTATCACTACGTGTGGATAAAACACTTCAGCAGGCTGTTGCACGACCAATCGAAATACGACGGGAAAAAAACACTTTTTTGAACGATGCCTACACGGCTTCACGCGAGCTGGTTTATTAGAATCCACCGGGAGGATTGCCTAGGCGTGGGGCAGACGGCCATACGAATCAACATGCCCAAGGAAGGTGACAATGTCCTAAAATTCGACAACCACAAGAATCAGATGCCAGTGCCTTATGTCATGTACGCCGACTTCGAAGCCTTGATCAAAAGCGTTGACATCGGGCCGACCCCCAACACGCACAAAACGCAGGAGCACGAGACCTGTGGGTTCGGATACATGGTCTGAAAAGTTTCTAAAGTGCTTGCAATTGGAAGAGAAAGCCATCAGGAAGAAATTGTACAATGTAGTTCCCATGCGTATGCGAGCCCACGGCTGCAGCACTCACTGCCATGTGTTCGATGGCCCACTGAACAGTGATTCGGTGAGAGATCACTGCCATGTCACCAGTGAGTACAGAGGCGCCGCTCACAACGCGTGTGCAACCTCAAGCTCAGAATCAACCCCAAAACGATCAACATCCACGTGGTCTTCCACAACTTGAGAGGGTACGACTCTCACTTGATCATGCAGGCCATCGCGAGGGTCGACGGCAACCTGACGTGCATCCCCAACAACATGGATAAATACATCTCCTTCTCCCTGAACGGCCTGAGGTTCATCGATTCAGTTCAGTTCCTGCTGTCGTCTCTTGACAGTTTGGTCAAGGCCAACGATACCTTCCCCATCACTGATCGATACACCGACGCCGAGACTCGGCCCCTGCTGATGAGGAAGGGTGTTTACCCCTACGAGTACATGGGTGGCTGGGCCAAGTTCGCCGAGACCTGACTACCCCCCCCCATCGACCGGTTTTACAGCAACCTGACCAACTCGACAATCACACACTATTAACGTATGGAATAAACTGGACTGCAAGAATCTGAGCGATTACCACGACCTGTACTTGAGAACGGACGTGCTCCTGCTGGCTGACGTGTTCGAGACGTTTAGGAGGATGTGTTTCAAGCAGTATCAACTCGACCACGCATGGTACTACACCAGCCCCGGTCTCTCTTGGGATGCCTTGCTGAAGAAAACCGGAGTTAAGATGGAATTGCTCACCGATTATAACATGCACCGGTTCATCAAGAAAGGATTGCGAGGCAGGATCTCCATGGTTGCCAAACGCTACGCGAAAGCCAACAATAAGTACGTGAAGGGCTACGACTCTAGCAAGCCCACCACCCACATCCTCTACCTCGACGCCAACAACCTGTACGGCTGGGCCATGAGCCAGTATCTACCCACAGGGGGGTTCGAGTGGGTGCCTGAGATAGACATCATGAGCATACCACCGGATTCGGAGAAGGGTTACATACTCGAAGTTGACTTGGATTACCCAACAGCATTACACAAGTCACTCAACAGCTACCCCCTGGCTCCAGAACGTTTAACAGTAGACCCGGACTTGATGTCTGACTACAAACGGAACCTGCTTGGTGGACGGGTGGCCAACGTTGAAAAACTCGTACCCAACTTGATGACCAAAACCAAGTACATCATTCACTATCACAACCTGCAGCTGTACCTGTCGCTGGGTATGAAGCTGACTAAAATTCATAGGGTGCTCAAGTTCAACCAAAGCCCCTGGATGGAGCCCTACATCAGAATGAACACACACATGCGAAAGCTGGCCACCAGTGACTTCGAGAAGAACCTCTACAAGCTCATGAACAACTCAGTGTTCGATAAGACGATGGAGAATTTACGAAAACGCGTGACCGTGTAGCTGGTTCGGTCGAAAGAGGAAGACAAGCTCAGGAAACTGATAGCCAGCCCGACATTCAACCGGAGCAAAATATTCACCGACGACCTGGTGGCCCTGCACATGAGGAAAAGCCACATCAAATTCAACCGGCCCGTCTACATGGGGATGAGCATCCTCGACCTCTCCAAGCACCTGATGTACGACTTTTACTACAGCGAGCTCAAGAAGCAGTACAGCGACAGGTGCGAAGTGCTGTACATGGACACAGACTCCCTGCTGATGGAGATTCGAACCGAAGACGTGTACGAGGACATGGCAAAACATGGACATGGCCATTTATACGACACCAGTGACTACCCCAAGGACCATGCCATGCACAGCACGGTTAACAAAATGGTCCTCGGTAAGATGAAGGACGAGTGTGCCAGTAGCCGATCGCTGAGTACATAGGCTTGAGGCCTAAGATGTACTCTATCCTGAAGGCCGACAACGGTGAGATCCGAAAGGCGAAGGGTGTCAAGAAGAACGTGATGAAACAACACATCAAACACGTCAGATTCAAGGAAGCCCTGTTCAAGACCCGCACCTTCAGGCATCAGATGAACACGCTGAGAAGCGATGGACACAAGATATACGGACTGACGATAAACAAGACATCCCTATCACCAATGGACACGAAGCGTTGGATAGCCATCGACGGGATCAACACGTACTCGTACGGGCATGAGAAAATTGAACCAAGAACATAGGTGTATATATATGATGTCACGGAATCAAAGAAAGCTTGAGGCTATTTACTACAGCCCACGTGGGTACTGGAAAGGAGCTAGCACCATACACCAAGCTTGCCAAAATGGCGAGAGTACCCCCAGACAAGGCCAAAGCGTGGCTTAAAAAACAATCCCTGTGGCAGATCTATTTACCGGCACCACGCTACGTGCCTCGAGGAAAGTTCAGCATTGCCGTACCCAATAGCGTCGACCAGGCCGACCTCCTGTTCCTACCCAACGACAGGAGGTACAAGTATGCCCTAACCATCGTTGACGTTGCCAGCCGCTACAAGGAAGCCGAGCCCTTAACCGCGAAAGATGCGGCCCAAGTCGCCCGCGAATTCGAGCGCATATACAAATGCAGTCCGCTGACATGGCCCTCAGAGCTGCAAGTCGACCCCGGGCGGGAGTTCATGGGTGCCGTGTCACAACTGCTAGCCAAGCACGATGTCCAAGTCAGGCGTGGCGTGGCCGGGGCTCACTGCAGCCAAGCCATAGTCGAGACATTCAATCGGACTTTGGCCGAGCGCTTGTTCAGACACCAGTATGTGAGAGAGAGGTGGTCAACCCAGAAAAACGATCGACGGAACTGGTAGCGCGGCTACCTCAGATGGTGTCGGCTATCAACCACGAAACCACCCGTCTCACAGGCAAGAAACCGGCCGACGCTTTCAAACTGAAATCAGTGATAGCCGAACCGGCTGCACCATAGTGTGGGAAGGAGAAACAGATAGCCGATAGGGCCCTCGTGAGGTACCTCTACCAGCCGGGGGAACACAAAGGGGACACTCGGAAACGAGCCACAGATCCGACATGGTCAGTCAAAACTTACAACCTAGATAAAGTGGACATCAAAGCCGACGAGCCGAACTTGTACTACTTGAAAGATGGGCCAGAGAGAGGTTTTGTCAGAGAGGAATTATTGATCAAACAATACGTCACAATGTTACCCCCCAAGCAAAATATTTAACACTTACCTTGTCGAGTGATCCCAATAGTGTCCTGTCACATGAAACTGTTTCCTCGAGGTATACACGACATAGAGTTATCATAGTGTCACGTGATCAGGAAAGTGTTGGTTCGCGGTCATAGTTACCAGGAAGTTAACTGGGGGTTCAAACCTGGTATATACAATAGCGGAGAGGGATAAGGGCCTGACAAAAGCTTTATTTCATAGAGTCTTTTGTTGGACTTGATCTCGTACTGCTACTGTATATACTACTCCCCTAGCCATGCATGCCTGACCATGTGAATTCCTAAAATTAAATTTGAAATTAGAAATTAGTTAAAAGCTTGCTTCTATTTTCCTCTTGAAATCCTTGAAGGAATAAAATAATAAAAGAGAACAGAAAAGAGGAATTTAAAAGTAAATATATATTTTGACGAATACAACATTGATAAACTACATCTGTGTTTCAGAGAGTTAGATCCAGTTCAAGAGGGTGTGAGATGTCTTATCCTACATCGCAGGTGGACAGTCATCATCATCATCATCATCATCATCATCGGCATGACTATCAGCATCACAATCAGCATCAGCCTCAGCAACTTCCTCAGTAGTCATAGAAAGAGAAGTTTTTACTTGAGACTGAAGTTCTGAAATTACAGAAAACGTATCTTCAATCAAAAATCAGGAAATTAGTAGAAAATAGCTGTATCAACTAGTCAATATCAGTACATTTCTGTTTTAAAGGTACAAAATATACACAAAAATCTTAATTAAGCACCAAGTATTAAAGTTATGATTTGGTGGTATGTGTGACTTATCCATTGCTATAAAATAAAATTGTGTGTCTTTTTATGTCCATTTATCAATACGTAGGAGTAGTAATGGGTTTTTTCTTGACAAAAGTAAATTTGGTCCTTTTATTTATGTGTATCTGTTAAAGGTGGATCTAACTTGATCAGTTTTCAGAGCTAATGACAGCAGATTAACAAAAACTCAAAAAACTAAACAGAATAAGGAAAAAATATTTTCTTTGACTTGAATTGTTGGGTAAACACATGTTCTTACTAGGAGGCACCCTTGAAGAGCAACCTCCTCGTGGTGGGTGCTGGGTAACGCCAATGGCTCTTCGCCCCCGTGTGGACCCGGGGTCGAATAGGTCCACAGCACCCCATTGCTGGTTGTAAGAGGCGACCAAATTGGGCAACCTGTTTGCCTGTGTCGGCAGAGGAAGGGAGTCTGGTGGTTGAGGATGATAGTGTTCAATAATCCAACAAACGACTTCAACCCTAACTTTGCCTAGGCAGGTGGTAGAATAGGCCCAATTCGGCCCAATCGGCTGGTCTCGCCGTGCCCTGTGCATGGAATGTTTATACAAAATTTGGTATTACATAACACTTTGGTCATGTTAAAAATGTTATCTGATATTCTGCCCAAACAAATTAGCCTTGCAGACCCATGCACAGAAGGTGGTGGCTCATGGGCCAATCTGGTTATGCTGACCTCCGATTTCTGTACGTCTCCAATTGATTGTCATGGGCCGAACCATCCTGACCTTTAATCTGGTTGACAGCTACAGCATTTCATGTCAAATTCGCTGGAGTATAACACCCCCTTATCCCCGGTCTTTGCAGCTTGGAGATCCGCTGCAATATAAGATCGTCCCTGTTGAGACTCCATGGTGGGTGGGGAGAGGGAATGCCCAACCACATTCCTTACGACATGGCTTCCCAATACCCCGGTTCAAAACGATGACATATGGACTCTGACAATTCCTCGTCTGACGAGAGTACGCCGCTTCGACCCGATTACTTGCCACGTTTTGAATACTGAATACAAGTTTTTATATAGTAGCAAGCGAGATCACACCAACATGTTAGGGTTAATTATTACCGATTGTAGTTAGTCTGACAGCCTGGTTGTGGGCGTAGGAAAGGAGTAAGCAACCAGCGTCTGGACGGATAACCGCTGTCGACGAGGAGGTGACACCCAGCTAGCAAGTTGTTACCCTCCATCAACCGGAAGAGGCCACTCTGAGACAAGAATCTCGAGCCGTGTGTGGACCCAGGCCAGCGTGCCACGATGTCAATGATACGATGAAAGGGATCGAACACTACCTGAAAAATACAAAACCACGGCACGTATACAAAGTTGTTACGCCCAAATCGACCATCCAAAAGAGGTTACATGCGTGTCTTTGAGAAATGAACTTTTTTTGAGCACTCAAATATATGAATCCTTGAAGAAAGTACCTGTGTGTTGATGCTGTGGTAGTGATGTCGATTGACGTAAACATCCTCATGTACAGTCGATGCCTGTATCTGTATGTGTGGGCTGTCAATGACGTCGATCACCCCCGGGAAGTTGGCGGTCCGGCGAAACTCCACCTTGTTACGTTGACACTCGGCAGGACTGGGAAAGTGTATAAACCGTGCCACCATGGCAGGTGTGGTCAAGGCTTCTACAGTAGTGTATATCGCACGTGAAACGCCCGGTTGGCTCAACCCATGGTCATCCCCGTTACATAATTAAAACATGCCTGTTGCCAGGAACCTCAAAGTGACTAAAAGTTTTGTTGTCGCGTAAATAGCATGATTCCGTCCAGTTTAAGGCTGTATTTGTGCACCAATAAGTTGAAATAAAAATCTGATACCTTGTTGGTTCAGTCTGTATCTCTCAAGAAGTTCCTCGTCAGGCATATCATTAAATCTGTTTGCAAATAAACGCGCTGTGCGGCTGCCATCTTTTAATTACAGACTTAAGTTGAAATCCTATAGTTAAGCCTACATGGATGCAGACATAGGAAATAAATAAAAAAAGCCAAAAAACTTAAGTCTAAAACTTTTATTGAATATGACTAAGAAAAAAAAGTGACTTAAGACAGAACTTAAAGGTCACATGCAACCAAAAAATCAAACATAATTAAAACACAATTATCACTTCTTCATGACATATGATATGCATTGCTGATTATGAAAAAACAAATAAACAAAATTATAAGCGTATAATCGCAGATCAAAAGTGCAATATTTTGTACTTGGGTTTACCTCCCTCAAAACGAAGCAGCCGGGATACCGAACCCAGTCAGAGCGGGTGGGTGTGCACTCGAGTGTAATGGCTGGTTCATTAGCAGATGCCGCCTTCACAGCTCATTGTGTGTGTATATAGAGAGATGTTGGGTTTTGTAAATACATGCTCATTTTTTGTGTATAACATTTTGCAATCAACAGACATCATAACATGTCATGTGTTCAAGTATCACACCTGCCTGTCTGTGTAATTACATAATGTGACAGAGACCAAACTCGGGCCATAAATCAATGCGTTTTGTTTATGGTGTATAGCCTGATTGGTGTTAAGTTCAAATTGCATGTGGTCAGTGATCGCAGTTGTGTATTGAATATTGTCATTAGCAGACAGGCAGGCAGACACACAGGTGTCAATAAAACAAGACATTGAGTTTTGTCTGTGACAGCGACATATCTATATCACAGTTAGAAATTGTGTCAACGCTAAATAATGGCATTGCTTTTAAGTATCTAACTGAGAAAGTGACTCGGTAAGAAGAACATGTGGTGAAATAGACAAATGAAATTATATAAACAGTTTATTTACTGTCATAACATATAAAAAAGCTCGCGCCTGTGAGATATCAACAAAACATTATAAAATGGCTCACACCAAAGCCTTCACCGAGTATTCACCAGACAGCCCGCTTCCAAGTTGCGCGAACCTATTTCACTGCGCACGTGCTATGAGCGCAGCCCAGCTGTTGAAACCCGTATTCCCCAGAAAAGTCTGGGGAAAATTAGTGAAACGTTTGAACTCCGATTTCGCGCGGTTTTTTTCATCGCGTTATTTTTCAACTTTATAAGTTGAATTTGCATTTTTGACGCTTTGTTTCGGTAAGTCCATACCGAAAGGTATCGGAATCTGCAAAGTTGTGTTTTACGTTGCATCTGACCTTTAAGTTTTTCCCCCAAAACGTAAGTCATTTTACCTAGACTTGAGGTTTTTTATAACGACTTAAGACGTTTATAGAATGCCACCCCTGTAGTCAAAGGCAATTAAAGTTTCTGTTGTTCTTCAAACGAAAGTGTTTTAAGTTCAATTACTCTTTTCATTGCTTCAGGTATTCCTCATACACATGGATATGCACACTGTAACACACAAACACACAATCACACAAACACAAATAGACACTGGCAAAGATACAAACATGAAATGTGCTATTTCTTTCCTTTGAACTAACTAGAAAAATCTTTTATTAAAATCTAAAAACAATCTTTCATTATTATCATGTAATTTCATGACAGAGATGTTCTGTATGTTTGTCTGTCTGCATGAGAGAGAGAGAGAGAGAGACACATTGGTGACGGAGACACAGGGAGTGAGAGAGACAAATGGAGAGAACCACATAATATAATTGCACTGCATAATTCGCAAAACGTATCCATGAATGAATACATTGACAGAACGTCACATACAAAATGTTTACTTGAACCTTAAATTGAGAAACAAACCAGTAATGGATATGTCTGGATAACGAATTGCTGTTAAAAACTGTTATGTGATCGGAGTACTTGTATCACCCTGTGCCACCATATTGTCCTGTAGATCAGATGTGACACGTCCATGTAGCACTTGTTGTTGAGTACACCTTGATCTGTCTCCTTTCTCCAGATAAACCAACCTGAAAGTTCTACGGAAATATGTAAAGACAAATAATTCGCCCTCACCATCTCGACGTAGGGCTCCACCGTCCTCACTGCTACCACTCGCCATGTTTGTCAGTCAAGTGCAGACCGGGAATTTCGGTATGGCAGAAATATGGGTGCCTTATCACACCCGACTGGTCACGTGACACTCTCCTGCACAGTTTACATTTAGGTGTCTAGTTAACAATCGGACACTGCATGTCTTAAATTGAACCTGTATATGTTTTGTTTTTCTTGGGATTGCGTGTTCTGTCAGTTGTAAGTCCCGATAAGCTGTAAGAGGCTCTTGACGCATGGATGATCCGGAACAACTCTGGCTCAGTTTGTATGTCTTGGAACATAGAAGATCAAGGTTTGATTACCTACATGGGTATATTATGTGAAATCTACACCTGTCGACCCACACAGGGACATTGTTGGAACACTTGTACAGGAGGCAGTAATTAATACTCGGATCAGATCAAGATTGCATACTGGCTTACATCCCAGGCGGCCAACAGTCGTAAAACAATATCGTATATCACAATTTTGTATAAACAGGCGTTCATGTTCTGCATGACCACTAGGCCACCCCATCGTCCCTATTGAAAGAAGTCTTTGTGCCTTCAGACGTCTTGAACTGGAGCCAGAACCACTACAGTAGTCTGCAAGCAGTGGTCTGAAATCCTTCGTGTGAGATAGGGCAAGCACTTTTAAACATGCAACTTTAAGTTCCATTTTTCAATATCCTATCCAAAGTTCTGCTCTTGAGACCCTGTAGGAAGACGTGCCATAGTTCACAACGAGGCTTGTTTAGATTTCTCAATACCTGAGCGTCTAATGATGATGGCTCGTCTGGAGTTGCGTGATTTCACGCCATATCATTTGTCTAAGGACAAATCGCCTGATTGAAGCTTGTGACGACGAGGCCATGCAACTGAGTCCATTCGCAATCTCTAAAGTTATCGCTGATATTTGCTGAAAGATTGCCAATGCCCCCAAGCTCCGATCCGGTTCTCTCCTCATAGAATGTGCATGAAGAGAGAAGACAGCAATCAGTCCATCTGCTCAAGTTGCTCAAGTGGAAAAACTTTGTCAATGTACAAGTTGCTGTCTCGGCGCACAAGATTTTGAACTCCTGTAAAGGAATTGTCCGTGATAGAGCTCGACATGACCGAAGACAAATTACCAAGCAACTTGAACAACAATCTGTCACAGCTATGAAGGACAATGTGGTCCAACCCACCAACGCCTATCACTCGCTCTCGCTCGGGAAATACCAACATTTAGGCACGTGTGTCGTGAACATAGTATGTCATGGGCACTCATATGGATTTCTTAATCTATTTAGTTTAGTATCTATAAGTTAATCAATTATCCCACATGTAAATATGTGTGGAGAAAAGCATTTATATGCTTTGAATGTTGTATATATTCTTTACAAAGTGGCACAGTGTCAAATTCAACACACTTTTGTCATATATAATAATCATATATACTATCCACATAAAGAAACTGTGCATTGTTAAAATATTATCCCAGTTGATAAGTACGATAACAATGTCAAAGGTACATATACACTTTAATGGAGGGATCATGAGACCATTACAAGTCGGGACAATTTCAATTGAAAAGTCAATCACAATGACGTCACCAAATCATCACGGAACCACCACCAAAGCGATTCCTCTCCAAGACACAGGCCTGTGCATAACGCTCTCCCACGCATCTATAAGCACGTTGACGTCCACCACTATGGGAAATGTTAAACCTGGACTCATCTGTAAAAAACAACATTTCTCCACCAAAACATGGGTCTGCGGACATGATTTCGGCACCACATTCGGCGAGCTTGTCGATGACGTTGTGTCAGGATAGGCCGTATGGCGGGACGTCGTGGTCTGATCCCGTGATGACGTAAACGTAGTCGAATTGTGTTGGGGTGGATACGGCGAAGTCCTGGGATGGCTCGGGCAGTCATCACTGCAGTCTGAAACCTGTGGCGTCATGGGTAACCCTTATCCATCTGTCCTGTCTTGGCGTTGACGTCGAGAACGTGGCTGATCGATGACGTCATTTGTGTTCTGGTAGCGTCTCACCATTGCAGAAATGGTGTTCCGGTGGCAGTGGAAATGTGCAGCCACTTGTCGTTGAGACATTCCCCCACGGACCATCCCAATGGCCTCATGACGTTGTGCAGACGTGAGCCTTGGCATGCTATGCGTTTCAATAGCCGTTTAATTTTTTATACGATCGCAAGGGCAGGGGTTGAGCTTTCCAAAGTGACAGTAGTATTGTGTGGCATTCATTTGCTCTGTTTCTCTTTCCCGGTATGCACGTGCAACAACGTATTGCACGTCTCAAGGACGAACCCGCTGCCGTCACGGAACGTGGCACGTGCATGCATGTTGGATACATGTCACTAATCTCTGAGTTTCAATCCTTATGTGTCTACACAGGTTTGATAAATTTAGAATTTAAATATTTGTATGCACAGTTTCTTTATGTGCCTAGAATATAAACTGAATATACTCCATAAGCAGTATTCGCCTCTGCGCAAATTAAAATATGAAACCATATATTGTGCAACACACAAACGCCTAGGTTGTGATAAGCATTTAAATGTTTTCTTTTTTTATATTTGTTCATGATATTTCATTTCCGGGGAGGGGAGAGAGGAGGGGGGAGCTTAGCGGTTAAAGCGTCCGCTCGTCACGCTGAAGACCTGAGTTCGATTTCACACTTGGGATTTTGGTTCAATGTGTGAAGCCTTTTTCTGATGTCCCCCGCCGTGATATTGATGGAATATTGCCAAAACGGCATAAAACCATGTCCGCTCACTCAGTTATGGTGATATATGGTGGTGTAAACTCTCAACGTCGAATAGGCAGATGCCCTCAAGAAAACCATCGCAACCGTGAAGAGAAACCTCTTCCTGGTGGGTGCTGGATAATGCTAATTGCTCTTCCCCCGTGGAGACCCGCGAAAGAAAGGTGCTCAGCTCACAAAAGGCGACCAAATTTGGCCACGGGTTTGTTCAAAATGTTAGAAATATTTCTGTCAAAATGTGAATTGGCTTACAGCCCCATGAATCAGACGTGAAGAGCAACCTCCTCGTGGTGAGGGCTGGGTAGCCCTTTTTAAACTCTCAGTCGCTCAGTCACACATGAGACCATCCAACCATAAGGCACAAAAAACATCATGATTCCATTTTCAAGCCATTGTTTAAAATAAGGACATGGCATTGTTTCATAATTCTGTAATGCTTGTAAAACATTTGTATGTCTTCCTCAGTTGTAATACTGTTTACTTTAGTTACACCACCTCCTTGGAATAATCAACAATAACATCAAATCGAACTGTTGTACTTGCTATTACCAGTTATAAGTGTTATAAAGTTTCCTGACTTTAATGTCTCCTCCCACTGTGACAGCGTTCACTGTTTCCGGTTCAGGAACCTTCAGAATGAACACCAAATTGTCATCAACAGACACCTGAAATTAGTAATTCAATTTTCGTTTCGAATAAGGCTGACATATTTTAAACCGAAATATGGACCCGTTAATGGGTGTAGAAACCATTCATGGCTGTAGCAACATGTATCGCTATATTTTAACTGTCTTCACCCAAACCCCTTCATCTGCATGAGCCAGTGAGGGGCCAGTGAGGGGCAGAAACAGAAAGAAACGCATAGATGTATCGTTTAATCTGCCAAGATTAAATGAAATATCACATGTACTGCTTGATCAGTTGCAGCCAAATATCACAGTATAAACCCAAATAAATGTCTGTTAACATATACTCTCCCAAAAAAGAAACGCATATAGGAATTTCAACTGTATTTTTATGTTTATTTTGAAACATCTTGTAGGCTTTGAGTCAATGAAATATAGCGAAATTGCATACTGGGAATGCAGTCTTATCCGTCTTTGACACCAACTCGGGGAAAGTCAGTTTGAGTGTCACATGGAGACGTGTGGTGGCGCTGAAGTCAATACCTCGTGTGACCACCGTGGGCATCCAGAACTGCACGGCATTGCCTCGGTATTGAACGAATAAGTCTCAAAATCTCGTGTTGCCCAATCACAGCCCACTCTGCCTGTAGTGCCTGTGCGAGTTGCTGAAGTGTCTGGGGCTGAGGGTTACGGCGTCACACCCGTCTGTACAGGGCATCCCACAGATGTTCGATCGGGTTTAAGTTCGGTGATCTTGAGGGCCAGGGGAGCACATTGATGTTGTGGTTCTGAAGGAAGTCTCTAGTGTGACGTGCTGTGTGGGGCCTGGCATTGTCCTGTTGAAACTACTCCCCCTAGCGATTAATGATTGGAAGGAGATGTGGGCGTAGGATTTCGTCACAGTACCATTGAGCTGTAAGGTTGCCCTTGATCATCACCAAAATCACTTCTCCTACGACAGGTGATCTCTTCCCACATCATAACACTTTCCCGGCCGAATCTGTTCACCTGGGGAAGGCAAGCGTCGGCGAAACGTTCACGTCGACGTCTGTACACCCGCATACTTCCATCGCGTCGTTCCAATAGATATCGTGATTCATCACTGAACCAGATTCTACGCCAATTCGGTAGGTTCCAGGCCTGAACGTTGGTGCACCATTGAACTCGATGTCGACGATGTTGTTGTCGAAGCACAGGACCAAAATAAGGTCTTCTGGCTCGTAAACCAGCCTCTCTCAACCTGTTCCTGACGGTCTGTGCAGAAAGCCTCCTCAATCCGGGTATTTGTCGAGAGGTACTGGTCGCCGTAGCTGTTCGATGACGCAGGTGATGTACCCGGACGTAGAAGTCCTGCGCCGCAGTGGTTGCTCGAGGTCGCCCACTACGAGGGGCATCTGCTACCGCATTCTGTCGGCGATATCTCTCCCAGAGCCGTGAAATGGTTCTTTGGTGAACATTCATGCGTCGGCCAACTGCACGTTGAGACTGGCCAGCTTCAAGCAAACCTATGGCGATATGACGGTTGGCTTCACTTAGACGTGTCATTTTGCGGTGAATAATCGACAGACAGGGATCAACCTTTTTTACCCATCATTGAGACTATCTGATCCCAAACTTTCACGTGCATTGCATGTGAATTGTGTATT